AAGTGACTAACAGTTGTGTATTTTATTCTGTTTATGTTTTTACTGTCATGTTTTGAAGTGACTAACAGTTGTGTATTTTATTCTGTTTATGTTCCTACCGCTATGTTTTGAAGTGACTAACAGTTGTGTATTTTATTCTGTTTATGTTCTTACTGTCATGTTTTGAAGTGACTAAAAGTTGTGTGTTTTATTCTGTGTATGTTCTTACTGTCATGTTTTGAAGTGACTAAAAGTTGTGTGTTTTATTCTGCTTATGTTCTTACTGTCATGTTTTGAAGTGACTAACAGTTATGTGTTTTATTCTGTGTATGTTCTTACTGTCATGTTTTGAAGTGACTAAAAGTTGTGTGTTTTATTCTGTGTATGTTCTTACTGTCATGTTTTGAAGTGACTAACAGTTATGTGTTTTATTCTGTCAATGTTCTTACTGTTCTGTTTTGAAGTGACTAACAGTTGTGTATTTTATTCTGTTTATGTTATTACTGTCATGTTTTGAAGTGACTAACAGTTGTGTGTTTTATTCTGTTTATGTTCTTACTGTTATGTTATGAAGTGACTAACAGTTGTGTATTTTATTCTGTTGATGTTCTTACTGTTATGTTTTGAAGTGACTAACAGTTGTGTGTTTTATTCTGTTTATGTTCTTACTGTCATGTTTTGAAGTGACTAACAGTTGTGTATTTTATTCTGTTTATGTTCTTACTGTCATGTTTTGAAGTGACTAAACAGTTGTGTATTTTATTCTGTTTATGTTCTTACTGTCATGTTTTGAAGTTACTAAACAGTTGTGTATTTTATTCTGTTGATGTTCTTACTGTCATGTTTTGAAGTGACTAAACAGTTGTGTATTGTATTCTGTTTATGTTCTTACTGTCATGTTTTGAAGTGACTAACAGTTGTGTATTTTATTCTGTTGATGTTCTTACTGTCATGTTTTGAAGTGACTAAACAGTTGTGTATTTTATTCTGTTGATGTTCTTACTGTCATGTTTTGAAGTGACTAAACAGTTGTGTATTGTATTCTGTTTATGTTCTTACTGTCATGTTTTGAAGTGACTAACAGTTGTGTATTTTATTCTGTTTATGTTCTTACTGTCATGTTTTGAAGTGACTAAACAGTTGTGTATTTAATTCTGTTGATGTTCTTACTGTCATGTTTTGAAGTGACTAAACAGTTGTGTATTGTATTCTGTTTATGTTCTTACTGTCATGTTTTGAAGTGACTAACAGTTGTGTATTTTATTCTGTTTATGTTCTTACTGTCATGTTTTGAAGTGACTAAACAGTTGTGTATTTAATTCTGTTGATGTTCTTACTGTCATGTTTTGAAGTGACTAAACAGTTGTGTATTGTATTCTGTTGATGTTCTTACTGTCATGTTTTGAAGTGACTAACAGTTGTGTGTTTTATTCTGTTTATGTTCTTACTGTCATGTTTTGAAGTGACTAAACAGTTGTGTATTTTATTCTGTTGATGTTCTTACTGTCATGTTTTGAAGTGACTAAACAGTTGTGTATTGTATTCTGTTTATGTTCTTACTGTCATGTTTTGAAGTGACTAACAGTTGTGTGTTTTATTCTGTTTATGTTCTTACTGTCATGTTTTGAAGTGACTAACAGTTGTGTGTTTTATTCTGTTGATGTTCTTACTGTTATGTTTTGAAGTGACTAACAGTTGTGTGTTTTATTCTGTTTATGTTCTTACTGTCATGTTTTGAAGTGACTAAACAGTTGTGTATTTTATTCTGTTGATGTTCTTACTGTCATGTTTTGAAGTGACTAAACAGTTGTGTATTGTATTCTGTTTATGTTCTTACTGTCATGTTTTGAAATGACTAACAGTTGTGTATTTTATTCTGTTTATGTTCTTACTGAGATGTTTTGAAGTGACTAACAGTTGTGTGTTTTATTCTGTTGATGTTCTTACTGTCATGTTTTGAAGTGACTAACAGTTGTGTGTTTTATTATCCTTATGTTCTAACTGTTATGTTTTGAAGTGACTAACAGTTATGTTTTTATTCTGTTTATGTTCTTACTGAGATGTTTTGAAGTGACTAACAGTTGTGTGTTTTATTCTGTTTATGTTCTTACTGTCATGTTTTGAAATGACTAACAGTTGTGTATTTTATTCTGTTTATGTTCTTACTGAGATGTTTTGAAGTGACTAACAGTTGTGTGTTTTATTATCCTTATGTTCTAACTGTTATGTTTTGAAGTGACTAACAGTTATGTTTTTATTCTGTTTATGTTCTTACTGAGGTGTTTTGAAGTGACTAACAGTTGTGTGTTTTATTCTGTTTATGTTCTTACTGTCATGTTTTGAAGTGACTAACAGTTGTGTATTTTATTCTGTTGATGTTCTTACTGTCATGTTTTGAAGTGACTAACAGTTGTGTGTTTTATTCTGTTTATGTTCTTACTGTCATGTTTTGAAGTGACTAACAGTTGTGTATTTTATTCTGTTGATGTTCTTACTGAGATGTTTTGAAGTGACTAACAGTTGTGTGTTTTATTATCCTTATGTTCTAACTGTTATGTTTTGAAGTGACTAACAGTTATGTTTTTATTCTGTTTATGTTCTTACTGAGATGTTTTGAAGTGACTAACAGTTGTGTTTTATTCCGTTTATGTTCTTACTGTCATGTTTTGAAGTGACTAACAGTTGTGTGTTTTATTCTGTTTATGTTCTTACTGTCATGTTTTGAAGTGACTAACAGTTGTGTATTTTATTCTGTTGATGTTCTTACTGTCATGTTTTGAAGTGACTAACAGTTGTGTGTTTTATTCTGTTTATGTTCTTACTGTCATGTTTTGAAGTGACTAACAGTTGTGTATTTTATTCTGTTTATGTTCTTACTGAGATGTTTTGAAGTGACTAACAGTTGTGTGTTTTATTATCCTTATGTTCTAACTGTTATGTTTTGAAGTGACTAACAGTTATGTTTTTATTCTGTTTATGTTCTTACTGAGATGTTTTGAAGTGACTAACAGTTGTGTGTTTTATTCTGTTTATGTTCTTACTGTCATGTTTTGAAGTGACTAACAGTTGTGTGTTTTATTCTGTTTATGTTCTTACTGTCATGTTTTGAAGTGACTAACAGTTGTGTATTTTATTCTGTTGATGTTCTTACTGTCATGTTTTGAAGTGACTAACAGTTGTGTGTTTTATTCTGTTTATGTTCTTACTGTTATGTTTTGAAGTGACTAACAGTTGTGTGTTTTATTCTGTTTATGTTCTTACTGTCATGTTTTGAAGTGACTAACAGTTGTGTGTTTTATTCTGTTTATGTTCTTACTGTTATGTTTTGAAGTGACTAACAGTTGTGTGTTTTATTCTGTTGATGTTCTTACTGTCATGTTTTGAAGCGACTAACAGTTGTGTGTTTTATTCTGTTTATGTTCTTACTGTCATGTTTTGAAGTGACTAACAGTTGTGTGTTTTATTCTGTTTATGTTCTTACTGTCATGTTTTGAAGCGACTAACAGTTGTGTGTTTTATTCTGTTTATGTTCTTACTGTCATGTTTTGAAGCGACTAACAGTTGTGTGTTTTATTCTGTTTATGTTCTTACTGTCATGTTATGAAGTGACTAACAGTTGTGTGATTTATTCTGTTTATGTTCTTACTGTTATGTTTTGAAGTGACTAACAGTTGTGTGTTTTATTCTGTTTATGTTCTTACTGTCATGTTTAAGTGACTAACAGTTGTGTGTTTTATTCTGTTTATGTTCTTACTGTTATGTTTTGAAGTGACTAACAGTTGTGTGTTTTATTCTGTTGATGTTCTTACTGTTATGTTTTGAAGTGACTAACAGTTGTGTGTTTTATTCTGTTGATGTTCTTACTGTCATGTTTTGAAGCGACTAACAGTTGTGTGTTTTATTCTGTTTATGTTCTTACTGTCATGTTTTGAAGTGACTAACAGTTGTGTGATTTATTCTGTTTATGTTCTTACTGTTATGTTTTGAAGTGACTAACAGTTGTGTGTTTTATTCTGTTTATGTTCTTACTGAGATGTTTTGAAGTGACTAACAGTTGTGTATTTTATTCTGTTTATGTTCTTACTGAGATATTTTGAAGTGACTAACAGTTGTGCATTTTATTCTGTTTATGTTCTTACTGAGATGTTTTGAAGTGACTAATAGTTGTGCATTTTATTCTGTTTATGTTCTTACTGTCATGTTTTGAAGTGACTAACAGTTGTGTATTTTATTCTGTTTATGTTCTTACTGTCATGTTTTGAAGTGACTAACAGTTGTGTGTTTTATTCTGTTTATGTTCTTACTGAAATGTTTTGAAGTGACTAACAGTTGTGTATTTTATTCTGTTGATGTTCTTACTGAAATGTTTTGAAGTGACTAACAGTTGTGTATTTTATTCTGTTGATGTTCTTACTGAGATGTTTTGAAGTGACTAACAGCTGTGTGTTTTTCTCTGTTGATGTTCTTACTGTCATGTTTTGAAGTGACTAACAGTTGTGTGTTTTATTCTGTTGATGTTCTTACTGTTATGTTTTGAAGTGACTAACAGTTGTGCATTTTATTCTGTTTATGTTCTTACTGAAATGTTTTGAAGTGACTAACAGTTGTGTATTTTATTCTGTTGATGTTCTTACTGTTATGTTTTGAAGTAACTAACAGTTATGTGTTTTATTCTGTTAATGTTCTTACTGTCATGTTTTGAAGTAACTAACAGTTGTGATTTATACTGTATTAATCTGCTGTATTGTTAACCAGCAAGGTTAAAGTTATTTAAAGTAAGTGTTTTATACTGTTTATGTTCAACTGTCAGGTTTTGAAGTAACATGCAATTGTATTTCATTCTATTACAATTTGCTGTATTTTGAAGTAACATGTAGTTATGTGATTTATATTGCTCAAGTAAGATCTACTATGTTCTGAAGTTATCTGTAGTTGTGTGGTTTTTTTTACTGTACATAATTAATTTGCTCTAGTACTAATTTGGATGTTACTACTGTACCTAATGAGACTGTTTTACTTACATCTTGATAATCAATGTCTGCTTTATTCTCTAGGCTTAATTTTAAAGCTTCTATATCTCCATTTCCAGCATCTGCAAGAAGTTTCTGTAAGTAGAACATAGATTTTACATTTAATAGATTGTAATGAAAAATAAATGAAACAACTGTTAAATAAAGCAATAATTATTTATTATTCTGCATGACAAATAACTATATAAATCGGGGGTATCCTCACTTCAAATACCATTCAGGCAGAGAGGATATGTACCGATTATCAGGTTGCCTGCATATTGACATTGTTAAGAATCAGCTGTGATTCACAATATAAAGCTTTTTTCATGGGAGCACAGCGAATGAGTTCAGAGGCTTCATATTGTGTCGAGCAGCTGACATTTTACAATATAAATTAAATATCATCAAAATGATGGTAATCTGTAAATCGATTTATCCGATTGTATTTGTGTATTTTGCATTATAGAAACAAGTGTTTTCTTTGTTTCACCAGCAAACTAAAAAATGACTTGATAAGTTCGGGTCAAACTTATCCTTTCCTTGAGATATTATGGTGTCTGGGGGACACAAATGAGGCCAAAATAAAAATATTGTATGTTTGCCCAAACGCGACAGACCCAAAAAAAAACCCGCCGACTCAAATTCTTTTTTAGCCGTTTTTTGAAGAATTTTTTTTTTCTGATCTTTTTCGTGTCTGCTCCGTCATCGTATAAAACTTAATGTTCGTCGTCTTTGCGTTTGAATGTAACTGTGAATAAGATTAAAAGAAAGCATGTAAGAGACGCAGTTAATCGATATTCGATGTTTTCGGTTTTTATCTTCTGATTTAACGAACGGTTACTTCTGCTTTGGCGCCGGCTACTGCAAAATTGTCAAAAATAATATTTTCACAAAGTTTTCATTTTTTACCAAGTCGATGAAACATTGATAATTAAAGAAATTCAGACATAAACGATTCATTTTCTGAAGAACAGAGATTTAAGCATTGACTTTACAGTGTGAAGCAGATTATTTAATAAAAAGACAACTTTTTATCACTTCATTCACTTCCGGTACTTGTTACACGAGATCGTACATCAATCTAACTTTCGGCCACAAAATAAGTTTGTTACTTCATTTGAACGTGATAAAAAATGCCTCCAGTAAATGTTTAATCCATTTATTGCATTAAAAACGTTAAATTCCTTTCCAAATAGCTTGTCAAACATCGTTTATTTGGTAAATTTTCTTCGTGTGCCATTAACTGTTTTCTAACTACGGATCAGAAACGGACCAGCTATGACCGAAATCCGTATTTTTACAATAATAACTACGGATGCATGAATGGAACAGCTGACAAGGAAATTGGTCCCAAATGGAAAAATTGCGCATTCCACACGCATTAACAGACTATTTGTTAGATTTACTTGATTAATGTATATAATTCCATATATATTGATTGTTTCAAAATATTGATTAAACTTGCTTAATTAACTCTGGGACTATAATACTAATATCAATATATATGGCCCAGCTTAACTTTGTATATCTTTTGATGAGAAACACTGAATTTCATAAACATGATAAACAAGATAGTTTTTTAATTGAATTGTGATTTATATATTATAATTTCTTTATCTTTTTGTCATAAAAAAAAAATCTTTTTAGTGCTAGATATTTAGTTGGTAGTTTCTCACAAGAACCTAAACTTAAACAACTTTGAATTTGAACTTTTACTTTAATTGTATACTCAGATATGAATTGAACAATATAAAAAGAACATTATTTACATATGACCCTTTGTACTATGGTAGTAAAAACCAAACATTGTAGCACAGGTGCAAAGGAGCACTTCTCCCTATCAGTTTCAAAAAGAGAAGTCACTTCTCCCTATGATTCTGAAGTAGTGTGAGCCCTGCATGATTATGCATTTAAGGATGTACTTAGGTCAGGTTTTGGAATTTCTGTCAGATGTTTGGACTCTGGTTTTTTCCTACGATACAGGGTAAAATATTTTGCCCCATGACCCCCATTTTTTTCCATATATAATACTTCAATTAATAACTCATAAAAGGTCATATACAAAAATTTAAGCAGATAGTAGATTTCTTCTCTTTCCATTAGTTTGCTTCTTAACTCAAATGCTCTTGAAGTCTTCTGACTTATAGTATCAATTTTAAATTCTACATTTTTCTAATTTCACCAAAGTACATCCTTAAAGAGTTCACCTTTTTGCCTGCAACAGTCCAATTCATCATTTGATTTATTGTAATAAGTATGTGAAATTATTAATACTGAGAAATAAAAAAAAATGTCTATTTGTTTGAATTATTTGAATAATTGCATGTCTACAGTTAAACTAAAAATATTTTCAACTAATAAGATCAAATTTGAATCTTTTCCTGAATGATCACCATGTCTTACAGAGTCATCCTTCATCATTTTCCTCAAACAACTTCAATTACTTGTTAGCTGAAAGTCTTGTTATAGTGATAATAATATTTATGTGATCAACTTTATAGAAAATATGTGACCATCTTTCTGCTCATTTACCTTATCATCATTAAAAAAAATGGTGTTTGATTAGGACTAAATTAGAGTTCAAGAGCCCCCAGAATGCAGGATTTTTGCACCATTTTAGAAAAAAAAAAACCTCGCCGTGTTGGGCGACGAGCAAGCTCTTCGCACCAGACGTCTATGACGTCCACAATCCTTGCCTGCTACTTTAATTATTAATCCTGCTACTTCAAAACCTAGTGACATCCCTGTAAAGAAGTAAAACATGTGAAAATGGCAGACAGTTTTTCATGGCTTTTGATTGTCTCTACAAAGGTTTGACGGAAAAAGAAGATATACTGTTTTAATATTTTCATGCAAATTCTGATAAAAAAAAAAGAATTTGCCTACCTACCTACCCACACCCAGTCATCATGGGTCGGGTTTGGGCAAACTGAAATATTTTTAATTGTGGCCTGATGCCCTCACAGATGCAAAGTGTTATTTTAACATACACAAAGTTGAGCATGGGAGCACATAGGTCTATGGTTCACTGTAGGAGGAGTTATCTGGAAACGCTATGCGCCTCTTAAATATGCAAATATATACTCCAAAAATGATAAAGTTCAACTATCTCCCAAAAGAGCAAATATTTATCAAAATCTAAACCCTGACGACATGCACACCTTCAATATATATGTTCAAACAGCCAGCAAAGTTAAAACTTCCTAGCATTCAAACTGTAGGAGGAGTTATCTGGAATAACTATATACCCATAATGGGACAGAAGGACAGACAGGGGTAAAACAATATGCCCCCAACTTTTAGTTGATGGGGCATAAAAAAAACTTTTGGATAACAATTTGTTATAACAATGTGCGTTGTATCAATTTACACTTTATACCATAAAATAGATATGTTTTTTTTCAACTAACGAACTTAACAATTGCAAGAGGAGAGAACTTCTGTATTTTTTATTTTTCAAAAATTGTCCAATATTTTCTCTAACAACTCAATAGGGTTATGTATTTGACATTGTAAACAAGCATTCTGAAGGTACTAGATATAGAATAAACCTTAAGAGAGTGTATACACTTATATTTAAAAAACATTCGATACATTTCTGAAAATGAAAAAACCTAAAACACTAAACTGCCACTAAATTATGCATGATAATCAGCTCCAAGTTACTGACACCATGACCTCAGAGGATTTCTGGCAAGTTACTAATGATTTATAAAAAATAAATGGGGAATGTGTCTATGGGAAACAGATGATGCCCCCGCTTGCATATAACGTTATAAAGGGCCATAACTCAAGAACAGTAAAAGTGACACTACCCAAATTTGAACTTGATCTGAGTTTTGTGGTAATAAGAATTGTTTATAAGTTTCATAACATTTAGTTGACGTAAACTTAAATTAGAGAGCAGAAACGAAAAATTCAGCAATTTTCCATTTTTAAAGGGGCATAACTCTAGGACAGAAGACGACACCAAAATTCAACCTTTATCTGTGTTTTGTGGTAATTAGCAGTGTGCATAAGTTTCATAACATTTGGTTGAGGCAAACTAAAGTTAGAGAACAGAAACAAATATTTCAGCAATTTTGAGATTTGTAAAGGGGCATAACTCTAGAACGGTAAAAGTGACGACAACAAAATTCAAACTTGATCTGTGTATTATGGTAATTAGCATTGTGCATAACATTTGGTTGAGGCAAACTAAAGTTAGAGAACAAAAACTAATATTTCAGCAATTTTTCCATTGGAAAGGGGCATAACTCAAGAATGGTAAAAGTGACGCCACCAAAATTCAAACTTGATCTCTGTTTTGTGGTAATAAACATTGTGGATAAGTTTCATAACATTTGGTAGAGGCAAACTAAAGTAAGAGAACGGAAACGAAAAATTCAGCAATTTTTCCATTTGTAAAGGGGCATAACTCTCGAACGGTAAAAGTGATGCCACCAAAATTCATACTCGATCTGTTTTTTGGGGTAATAAGCATTGTGAATAAGTTTCATATCATTTGGTTGAGGCAAACTCTAAAGTTAGAAAACAGTAACCAGCGGTGGATCACTCGACTCGTGCGTCGCTGAAGAGCGCAGCCAGCTGCGTGAATTAATGTGAATTGCAGGACACATTGAACATCGACATCTTGAACGCACATTGCGGCTTTGGGTCACTCCATGAGCCACGCCTGTCTGAGGGTCGGTGAAACATCAATCGCAAAAGGAGAATTTTTTTTCTCCCTTTTGCGCCTTGGGCTTTGGTCGCAGCAGGGTGAAATCCGCTTCGTCGCCTGAAATGCAGACCAATGTATTTTGGGATGTACGGACGGACGTACGGACGTACAGAAAGACAAGGGTAAAACTTAATGCCCCCTCCGCTATGGCGGGCGCATAAAAATAAAACAGGCGAGAAATTTCATGCAGTTTATGTCTATCTTTGCTATGAGTTGTTATTAGCAACACCTTAGTCAAATGTTTGTAGTACATTTTTCTTTGTCCCAATCTTTGTTGTGTTTGTTTTATCTTTGACCTTGTAATATCTGTTTTTGAAGGTCACGTAGAATTCTACTAGTTTGTATCTCAAATCATCACATACATGTATTTTTGGTAAGAAAATGGAAATAAAAGGTCACATGACAATTGGACTTAAAAGTAAATCTTACCTCATTCCAATATTCCATTATATCCTAAAAATAGAAAAAAAAATATTTCAAATATATACTGTTGTAGTTATCATTGAGTTATAATTGTTAATGCCAATTGAAAATACATGATCATTATGGACTTGAAAATTACTGACCTAATATTTTCAGATATTAATCTAATCCAAAAACATGTAATACTAGCATCTAAAAGACTATCTCAACTTTTTTGCACTATTTGAAATTTGTGTCGCTCACCTGGTGAAAATATTGCTAGTTTGCTCACTACGATTTTTATATGCACATACTAGTTACTCTTTGTGTTGCTGATATTTATGCAATTTACATATTTAACCTAGCTCCTATAGGTTTTTAGATAACAGCCAAAACTGCAAACATGAGTACACACGCTGAATTGCCAGAAATACATGTACATCTTACAATCATTCCATACACCAAATATAGTTGATCTTTTGCTAGTAGTATACAAGACAGACCAAATCATTAAAATTTTATATTGACAAATGAACCATGAAAATTAGGTAAAGGACAGATGAACCCTGTCAGTCAGACATATACACCTTACAATCATTCCATGGATCAAATATAGTTGACCTATTGCATATAGTATTTAAGGAAAAAACTAAACCAGGAAAACATCATAGTGACCAATGAACCATGAAAAAGATGTCAAGTTTAGATGATACCTGCAAGAAAGGTTTTCCTGTTTGAATTGTTTTACACTAGTCATTTTTGGGTCTTTATAGCTTGCTGTTCAGTGTGAGCCAAGGCTCGGTGTTGAAGGCCGTACTTTGACCTATAATGGTTTATTTTTTACACATTGTGAGTGGGATGGAGAGTTGTCTCATTTGCACTCATATCACATCTTCTTATATCTATATAGTATATACACTTTAAAATCATTCCATACACCAAATATACATGATATAGTTGACCCATTGCTTATAGTTTAAGAAAAATGATCAAAACAAAAAACTTAACATTGAGAAATGAGCCATTAAATTGAGGTCAAGGTCAAATAAAACCTGCCAGACTAACTTGTACATAATAAAATATTTCATCATATATAGTCGACCTATTGCATACAGTTATAGAAAAACGGACCAAAACAAAACAACTTAACTATATCCACTGAACCATGAAAATGAGGTCAAAGTCAGATGACACCTGGCAGTTGGACATGTACAACTTACAATCATTCCTTACACCAAATATAGTAGACCTATTGCTTATATGCTTATTTCTGAGATATGGACTTGACCACGAAAACTTAACCTTGTTCACTGATCTGTGAAATGAGGTCAAGGTCAAGTGAAAACTATCTGACTGGCATGATGACCTTGCAAGGCACGCACATACCAAATATAGTTATCCTATTACTCATAATAAGAAAGAAATTAACAATACAAAAAAACTTGAATTTTTTTTCAAGTAGTTACTGAACCATGAAAATGCGGTCAAGGAAAATTGACATATCATATCATATGACAGCCATTGCCGCTGGATCACTATCCCTGTCGAGCTTTCTGAGAGAGAAGTCGCAGGCATGAACAAAAACCTGTAAAAATCAATATTTCAGGGGCAATAACTCCAAAATTTGTAGTTAAAAAAAACTGAGTAAAAAGATCTTGTCATGCTGATCGTAATTATAGTTTACACTTTTAACCTATAGCTAGCTCCTATAGTTTTACAAATAACAGGCAAAAATGAAAAAAAATGGAAAAATGTATTTTTCAGGGGCAATAACTCAAAAACACAGGTTTACATATTTTTTTCAACATTTCCAGAGTTATAAAATCTTGTCAAGCTGACCATTTTTGTAATTTACACTTTTAACCTAGCGCCTACATGTTTATCAATAATAACAGGATAACACTTTAAATAAATGTGCTTCGCGAGCGCAGCTGGATACTACCGCTGAGGTCCAACCCTGAACAGTTGAGGCAAAAATGGACACAATATTCAAGCTTGATACAGGTATGAATTTGGATTGTAATTAAATATTTGACACATTAAAGGTTTCTGACACAGAATAAATGTAGTCAAAGAACTTGATATTGGTTATATGATTTGAATTTATATTCAATTGAAGATTTCTTGCTGTTGTGCAATACACTGTGCTGTTGCGCAATACTTAGTAAATCTGTTTTCAGACTATATACAAAGAATTAGCAAAATAAATTGTGACCCCCAATTTTTTTTTTGGAAAATTGATACTTTCTTAAATCTTGAGGGAAAAAAAATTGACTCCACCCCCAAAAAAAATTTTGTTTACCCACCCTCATAAAAAATAGTGGAAAATTGATAATTTCTTAAATCTTGAGGAAAAAAAATTGACCCCCAAAATTTTTTTTATTTTGTTTACCCCCCTCCAAAAAAAATAATATTTGAAGAAATTTTCTTTTTGTAAAATGTGGTACAATTTAAGAGACATCCATACATTTAAACACAATTGTCTGAAAACTTAGAAAAATGCTTGTTTTGGCCCCTTTTTGGCCCCTTATTCCTGAAAGGTGTGGGCAATTACCCCCAAAATGAATACCAACCTTCTACTTGTGGTATTGAACCTTGTGGTACAATTTCAGAGCAATCAAAATACTTATACACAAGTTATTGTCCTGAAACTAGAAAAATGCTTGTTTTGGGCCCCTTTTTGGCCCCTAATTCCTAAACTGGTTGGGACCATCACCCCCAAAAACAATCCCAACCTTCCTTTTGTGGTATTGAACCTTTTGGTTAAATTTCATAGAGATCTGTACACTTAACCAAATGTCTTCGGACGACGACAACGTGATAGCAATATACGAACGCAAAATTTTTGCGGTCGTATAAAAATGATTTTTCAGGGGCAATAACTCTAAAACAGGGTGACAGATTTTTCTCAAATTTTTAGGTTAGATACATTTTGTTGTGTTGCAACTTTTTGCAATTTACACTTTTAACCTAACTCCTATAGTTTTTATGATAGCAGCCACCAACTGTGAAAAATTCTAAAATAGATAGTTCAGAGACAAAAACAAGTGGTTAGTTTTTACCAAATTTTCAGGGTGGATACATCTTGTCGTGCTGATAATTTTTACAGTTTACACTTTTAACCTAGCTCCTATAATTTTGGTAGATCTTACTTTGTCGAACATTTTTGCCACTAAAGGTTTCTCTCTATCTATCATAGTTTCTGCATCTTTCAAGGGCAATAACTCCAATAAGGGATTAATTTACAATTTTGTTCAGTTTGACTTATTTGTAGATTTTTTTTAAACTTGCTGAACATTTTTGCTGTTGAAATTTCTCTGTATCTTTAATAGTTTTCTAGATAAAATCGAAAAACAGAAACTTTAATAACAATTATTATTTCAGGGGCAGTAACTCCATATAGGGTTGTCCCGTTGGTTTGAAATTTTCGTGGCAGATAAATCTTTACATGCTTATCACATGTATCATTTTTATTTAGGTCAGTTTTGCTTTAACTGCTTTTTTTTCAGATATAAGCCATAAACTTCTTTTTTTGCCCTATGTTTTATTTTCTTTGTCATGGCGGTCATGTTTCTTGATAGACAAAAAAACACAAACTTTATACTAGATACCTTAAGGATAATTCAGCCCAAGTTTGATAAAATTGGTCCCCTGTTTTCAGAGAAGATCTCTGAAAAATTAACATGGGAAGACGGACAGACGACCGACGCAAAGGGATGGCAAATGTTCACATGGCCTTTTAGGCCAGCTGAGCTAAAAACTAAACTCAAAACCTTGTATATCTAATTACATACCTAAATGAGGTATTCTACAAACAGGGTGTGATTTTTTCCTTCAAACACAAAAACATCAATTGCACTTTTGCCGACCTAAAAATTTCAAAAGTTTTATTTACCAGCATTAAGACAATATTGAATTCATTTATTTCCAGCCTCTCTAAAATAAACTGTCCACAAATGAGCAAGGCAATCATGGCAATCACATTAAACAATTGTTCTTTTTACACTCTCTTTATGTGCGTGTCCATTTCGAGGAACCTGTAGTATAGTGGTTGTTGTTGGTAGCTGTATTCCCTCCCGTTTTCATTGTTGTAATAGGCTGTTGATTTTCTCTTTTGATTTGTTACACATTTTATCATATCAGTGCTGTTTATAGATTTTTATATTATTATATGGTATTGGTTTTGTGCAATTTCAAAGGCTATTGAGAGACCTGTCAATCTGATGTTCAGTAGTTGTCGTTTGTTGATGTGGTTCATAAATGTTTCTCGTTTTTTATATAGATTAGACTGTTGGTTTTCCCGTTTGAATGGTTTTACACTAGTAATTTTTTGGGGCCCTTTATAGCTTGCTGTTCATTGTGAGCCAAGGCTCCTTGTTGAAGGCCGATCTACGACCTATAATGGTTTAATTTTATAAATTGTGACTTGGAGGGAGAGTTGTCTCATTGGCACTCATACCTCATTTTCTTATATCTATTATCTGTAGTTGTTTATATCTTTGTCCTTCTGACTAGGGATAACTGTTTCACCATCATTCATACAACATCTCTTAATTAAAAAACCTTTGTGAGCACACTTACATACCCAACACCCCCACATTGTCACTGGGCGAACAAAATCTCGCCCAATTTCTAAGTTCAAAGACAAATAACTCCTACAAAAGTCAACTGATAAAAATTTCTTGAGTATATGCACATCTACATATTATGTCCTAATTATCTACAAAGTTTCATGAAATTCTGTTGTGTGGTTTGAGAGGAGTTGCTATGACAAGAACAGGACTGAGAGACGGATGGACGGACTGACTGACTGACTAACAGACTGACGGATGAGTCAAAAACATTATACCCTACTGAACTTTGTTCCATGGGGTATAATTATTATATAAAAATGATATAATGATCAAAGATATATTCCACCGCTTTCTAACAGGATTGAAGGTTCAAATTTACTCTTATTAGTAAGTTCTTAAATTTGCTTTAAAGAATATAAGGTCCTGGACCATTTGAATTTTTTAGTGAAAGGCCCTTCAGAAAGTCATAGGTCCTAAAAAAAAAACAGCAATGTAAAAAGATGGGAGGTTTTGGACTTTTGTATTTCAAAAACCAAAGCTTTCCTCTCAGAAATGAAAGGCTATGTACCTTGGACTTCCAATAATTTAAACCCCTGAAAAGTTAAGTCATAATATTTCAAAGTTTTATTATATAGCCATATTTTAGGTTGGTGCATTAAAGTCCTTAAATCAACACGATCAAAGCCCTCTTAAAAAATGACACTAACCTATTCTGTTTGTGCCTGTCTCAAGTCAGGAGCCTGTTATTCAGTTGTATCGTTTGTTGCTGTATATCATATTTGGTTTTGGTTTATTGTTTTTTTTACATAAATCATGCGATTAATTTTTTGGTATTGTCAGATTGTTTTGCATTGGTAACTTCTGGGCCTTTTATAGAATACTATGTGATATGGGTTTCGCTCATTGTTGAAGGTAGTATGGTTACCTATAGTTGTTAACTTCTACGTCATTTGGTCTCTGGTGGAGAGTTATCTCATTGGCAATCATACCACATCTTCTTATTTTCATAAAGAAAACTTTGATGAAAAGTTTCCTTGTAAAATGAGCGTTGTAAAATTTCAATCTATTGGCAAAATGGAAGTGGCTACACAGCAGATGCAAAAATTGCTAACATGCCACAACTCAAGATTATCAAGATGCAGACCAAATATGAAAGCATTCCCTTCCTTAGAAGCCAAGAAAAGTTTTACAAAAATTTTCCTTGAACAATGAGTGTTGTAAAATTTCAAACTTTTGAAAAAAGAAAGTGGCTGCACAGCAAATGTTAAAATTTGTAACAGGCTACCACTCAACATTATCAAGGTGCAGACCTAATATAAAAAGGTTCACTTTAGGCCAAATATGGCCTTGAATTTCAACTTTATCAGAAAATTTCATTATGGCCATAATTTGGTTTCTTAAATGGATCTATTTCAAAAGTCTTACTTCTTTGTTAAAATAAATCTCTTCATAAGAGTACATTCTTGACTTCAAAATCAGCACATTTTAGATATACAGGTATTGTCAAAATAAGATGATTTTGTGCATTTTTTCGGACCTAAAAGCTTGAGGCAACCCTTGGCTGCAAACTAGGATCCAAAATGTTCTGTAACCAAAAGTTGCCAATAATTATATTGAATCCCTAGACACAAAAACATTCTGGAACATGGGTTGCAGCCAAAGTAAATTATACAGAAAACTGTTAAGAATAATTGAAAATTTGACCAAAGTTGATGTTTCAACTCAAATAGTTCATACTTAAGGAGTCAATTCTTCGCCATTTTTAATGTGATGTGCCAAACTAAAGTTATTTTGTATTTATAGTAATATCACATCTATTTCTGTGTAAAATTTGTAGCATTTTGGCCTGATTAAAAAAAACATCAAAATCTTATGGCCAATTTTAACCTGTCGTGAACTTACTCCTGTGTAACATGCTAAGACTCAACTTTATCAGCTGCAGACCAAATATAAAAGCATTCCCTTCCTTAAAAGCCAAGAAAAGTTTTACAAAAATTTTCCTTGTACAATTAGTGTTTCCTACAGGAGGTTTTGGCGCCCTGCCCTTTTTAGGAAAAAAAATTGGTGCCATGCCCCTTTACCCTCGTATTTTAGAACGCCCCACCGTAATTTAATATCTGTTCTGCAATCCATCTTTTAGCAAAACCTTTTCGATTTATTTCCCTTGGAACAAAATAAAAAATTTAATGGCCAACAATTTATTGAATTGAATTTCGTAATACAAGTAATAGCTTTTCTAAAAAGCTAGCCAACTTCAGCTGATGGAAGACGAAAATGTTTTCGCTTTGTAGTTTAATTCATTCAGAATAGCCTTGTATATAAATTGCAGTGGATTACAAAACTTATAAAAGGCTTATACAATTTTTTAGATTTACCAAAATCTTTTTTTGGGGAATTTTTGTATTAACACAGGAAATGGAGGAGTAATGTCTTAATCATCTGTGTTTGTAGCAAACTTTTGAAAATATTTTTTTTAATTTCAGTTTTTTCTGATAGATGGACTTAGTTTCTTACAGTTAACATTTACAGACAGTCTAGTATTAAACTTTTTTTTTTGACATTTTCAAACCTTCATGGATTGTTATGAAACTTGGACATAAGCTAATCTTCAAGACCAGGAAAAAGCATCTAACATTTCTAAAGAAAAAGTTTGAAATTTTTAAAAAATTCTTTATACTGATAAATGGACTCACTTTTTAAGTCAACATTACACTTTACACTGATAGCAGCAATCGCAGGCGACACAGGGTTCCCCGGAACCCCTTATGAATTTTTTGCTGTTAAGATATTTTTTTACATGTACAAAATGTATTTACAACTATGCTACATATTATAGCTAGACTTGGGAGGATAAAGAACTTAAAATATTGTAATGACATGTCCATTGTAAAAGACCGTATGTTGAACTTTAGAAGTAAATTGTGTAGTTTGTTGTTTAATTGGGTTGCTTTCTATATACATTATGTATACTTCACATCTCCTTTTAAATCATGCATAAATATCAAATATTGCTTAAAATATGCTAGCATAAATGTATAATTGCTTTTATCATCTGGGAGTTTTTTTTTAGTTTTCTGTTCTTCAACATCTGTTATCTTGATAGGAAGAGCTAGGGAGAGTTAGACAACGTCCAACCCAGCCCACACCCGGATCCCCTAAATATCTTGGGGTATGTGGAAAGGGGGAGGCACTTATTATAATGAGTGGAAGGGATGAGCCGCTGGTCGAGAAATTTAGGTGAAATATATAACAAGGTGGATGATTGTGAACCTGAAACTAATCAGATGTCGATATTTTTTTACAGATGCAATTAAAATTACTGTCGTAAATGCTTAAGACATTTGCCAAAACTATTCATCTCTGTTGAAATAGCGTAACAATGATAGCTATATGTAGGTATAATTATTGTAAAATAAAGGGAGGTTATCTTAATTGATATAAACCAGTCACCAAAGTTTAATGAAAACTGCTCAAAGCACTTTAAAGGTATTGTCCAAAAACTAGAAAATCACCCCTTTTTTTATGAATAAAATCCCATAACTAGAAAGTGTAAAATCTAAAATTTATAAAAATTGAAAGGGAGCTTACATCAATAGATATAAACAATTCTCCAAAGTTTCATGAGAACTGCTGAAAGCATTTTTGAGTTATTGTCCGAAAACTGGAAAATCCCCCTTCGTTTTTAATGAATAAAACTCCATAACTCGGAAACTTAAAACCTAAAATTTATAAAAATCAAAAGGAGCTCATGTCAATAGATATAAACAATTGACCAAAGTTTCTTGCAACTTGGTGAAAGCATTTTAGATTTATTGTCCGAAAACTGGAAAATTCCCCTTTTTTTAATGAATAAAACCCTAAACTAAGAAATGTAAAATCTAAATTTTATAAAAAATGAAGGGAGCTCACATCAATAGATATGAACATTTCACCAGTTTTATGCAAATTGGTTGAAGCGTTTTTGAGTTAATGTCCGACATGTTGACGACGGACGGACAGATGGACGACAGTATACCATAATATGTCCCGTAAACGGGCGTATAAAAATATGATAGCTAGGGTATGTTCTTTTGTTATTCAAGATATATGAAAAGGGTGGGTGGGGTATTGTATGTCTCAGCTGGTCACCCCTATCATAAAAAGGTCGAAGTGCAGCCGCACCCTGAGATGAGATAAAGATTCCATTGTAAACTAATTTTAATTGAAAAAAAATGATTTGGATATATCCGCTTTCAATGTTTTTTCTGCCTTTTGATTATTTTACTAAAAATTAATATCTATAACCTAAGAAAAAA